CAATCTCATCCATCTATTTTCACTCATCCAACGACCCTAAATCTGTGTAAAACTAAAGAGTTTTATATTATGTAAGTGGATCCTAACCCTATATGTATACACATGTGTAATTGTATAGTTTGTAATGTTATTTAATAAATCAAACATCATCTAAAACTATATAATATATTTATAGTGTTAATTTTAAGGTATGTATTTTAAGTGTAAGTGCCGATGAGAGTATAAAAGAGTCAATAAATTGATAGGAAGAAATAATTTGCATAGGTTATAGTCAAAGGACTAAATTGATTAAAATACAAGTTGATGGACTAAATTTAAAAAATAGAAAATCTATTGTAAAGAAAAAGAATTGAAGTTACAAAGTATTTTATAGTTGTTGAAAAGCATATAATTTAAAACGAATGAGAGATTGAAGAAAAAAGAAACTAGAAACCAATTCACAAAACAATCAAATTACTTAACTAAAGACTAACACAATATCGTTTTAAGTTTCGTTTGATTATTCAAATTTTAAAAATTCAAACTTGACTCGAAATCAAAATTTAAACTAAAAATATGAATTGACTCAAATAATTTAAATCTAATAATTTCAAATTAAAAGAAATCAAATCGAATAGAATTTTACAAACAAAATCCAAGACTCCTATTTCTCACAATCAGCATGTTGTTTGTTAAAAAAATTGATTGATTATATATAGATAAATAATATTTAAAGAAGTGATTTCTTTACTTAATTGATATATCTAGAATTCTCTATCTGTAAAAAAAATATATATATGATAAATAATGTACATTGAAAAATATTAAAATATCAAGATTTTTCAATTAGTTACAAAATGTAAAAAAATTGACTTAACCCATGAAGCATTCCCTCTTATAAAACCTCATTTGCTTTGTTTTTATCAATAACCCTTCTTTTGTCTTTCATTTTCTTTCTCAATGCTTATATTTCTCATTAACTCGAATGAGGTGTGGTTACTCCATATTTGTGTGCAATCTAATCACAATACTATCTTTGGATAGCACTAGTTAAAGATATTACAACGCACTGATGGCATAATTTTTCACCGGAGATTAAAGCTCTAGTTCATAAAAGACGCTATCAGTAGAAAGTTTATGTCCTCTTTAACCCTTTGACTTTATAAAAAGCAAAATTATAAATACTCTCCTTAAGATAAATTCACTCTTTCCTCAAATGCTTGAAATTATTGGAAGCCTATCTCTAATGATACAACAATAACCCTTCACAGGCAGTAGCAATGCTACAATGAACAAATCAAACTCAATCTTATCTTTTTCTATCACCAGAACAAAAACAAATTTTGGAATGAAAACTTTACAAGAAGTGAGTAGATTTTTTTTGTCAACTTATCTATTTAAAAAAAGAGAGAGAAGATGAAAATGGATAAAAAAAGAAGTTGAAAATAATAATTGGAATTAATGGACATAACAATGAACTGAACAGTCACAAGAATTAGGCTTAATACAAAAATAAGAAGTAAACCTTAATCGTTAAAAGTATGTATTTAATGTTTTATCCGTTACACTTTTAGGTGTCTATGCCGTAGTAACTATTAAAAAATCGTTAAATGACACACGTCACGTTTATATATTTTTGAATTTTTATTTTTTTGAAAAAAATGTAAATATATTATTTGTAAATTAAAAATAACTATTGCTTTTAAAGAAAACCCAAATACCTAAGTTCCTCCCCCTTTCCGTCGTTCAGGCAGTATTAACTCTCTCCGATTGTTCAGATGTATTGTTATTCTAAATCTTCCTTAGTTTAAGTAAGCAAAGTTCATCCTCCATTGTTTCTTGAATATTGTTCTTGGAACCAACCATAAACATGTAGGAATATGTTTGGTAAATCAACAAATCATAGTGACAATTATACATATGGCTTGGAATATGATTATAGACATCAAGAAATAAAGGACTTTACAATCAATTGATATGCTTGTAAATGCCCCCACACTCCTCCCCGTTCACAAGTTATTCTAAATCTCCCCCTCCTATTGTTTTACGTAAGCTTACTAAATATTCTCAACAATGAGTTTTGCTTTACTTCATTAGTTGCACTGTGCTCCAAAGGTTCTTCAGTGTTTGAATTTGATAATCCAAAGGACTGGTTTTTCAAAGTATACGCTAAGGACAACGTAGGGGGATTTGGGCGTAATTGGCGGCCAGGAATTAAGTTTTTCTTTTAAATTGATTTTTAAAATATTATTTTAAAAATATAAATTCAAAAAAAAAACATGACACATGTCATTTAACGTTTTTTTAACCGTCATTTAACGTTTTTGAACCTAAAGGTGTAACGGAGAAAAAGTTAGACACCTACTTTTAACAAAAAAATCTTTAGACACCTAAAATTAACTTAAGATATAATTTAGGAACTTATTTTTGCATTAAGATATAGCTGTGACCCTTGCATGTTTAAACCCACGCCGCCGTAGACTTCTTTAACCCAAAAGCACTATGCACCTGCCGTAGATCGGCGTTGTTTCATTCTTTAACCCTAGACCCCTCTTTTTCTTTTCTAAATCCTAAAAATAAACCCCTAATATTTGAACAGCCCCTTAACCCACTCAAAAGACCTAACTCTTTGACTCCGATGACCTCAACGACCGTCTCCTCCGATGACCTCAACACCGGTGAGAACTCAAACCAAACACGGTAACAAACTAAACCCTATTATCAATACACTATTGCTCAATCGTTTTGGAAGATAGGCCTGGGTTGTGTAAGAATAAAACACCCTTCAATCATTTGTGTGTCTATATATATATATTGGGAATTGAAGATGGAGACGAAGTCAACTGTATAAAAAAATGTTGAAATGCAAAATAAGCAACCTGAAGGGGAAGGCAATGCAATAGGTGAAGAGTGTTGCTCTATGCTTACATATCTGATGAGTTGAAGCATATTCAGTAGCAATGAATGAGAAAGAGTTAGCTTGAAGGGTGTTTTATTCTTACACAAACCCTTTTGACTCATTCCAAACAACATTAACACCTTGAAGCATATTTCTTTGTTTTCGATCGACTTGGAGAATGTCCTTTTACTAGTATTATTATTGAAGTGAAGCGGGGTAGCGGGGGAGAAGATAGGAGTTGGGAAGAAAACATATGGAAAAATCATGTAAATTGATATTTTATTTCTAAACTATTTTGAATTTACAAAAAGACTTTGATTAGTAATTTATCTAAAATTTAAGAGTTAAAATAAAAATTAAATTTTTTAATTAAAATGTCACATCATCCAATTCACGGTAATCAACGTCTTAGTGAACAAATCTTAATTAAATGATAACGAAAGTGACTAAATTTTATGTTTTTTTAACCTAATGACCATAAATTTATAAAACTCAAACAAAAACGTCTAAATCTATAGTTTACCCAAGATTAAACTACAAGCAAAAGTTTAAACTTTCTTCGGAACATCAAGAGACATAAATATGTTATGAAAGATATATAAAAATTTGGCTAAAATTTCAACGGGTCACACTTAGGCTTGATCGGTCCAAATATTTGGCATCACCAACGTCATGTAGGTGCGTTATCCATGTCTTGTGGGTGTGTCCCCAAAACCCCATATGGGAGTGATTTGCAACCTCTATGCCCGCACACAAGAGAGAGCCTTTTAGCTTACACATTCATTAACTAATAAATTGGTTCTACATTATAAACACTTTCCAAATCCCAAACTCTTTTCATGCGGGATAAATTATTTTAAGATACCATTTTCATGTAGCTTACTTTGACAATAAATTTATGATTCATCACTTTACTATTTTGAGCATATTATATATCGTTTTAAAGGTATCATGAAGTACAATATATAACCATAATTTTATTATTCAAACATATAATTTTAGCAGTAATAATGCCTCAAAGTTCTAAAATATCCATCATTTTTCAAAAAAATTGAATGAAATTGATAGATCAAATAAGTTTAATGATTCGATGTGGTGATAGAATCTACTTTCCATATTTACGTAGGATAGGTAGGAATCAACCATTGAACCTTCCCATGTGAAAGTATATTTACTTTACTAGTTGATTAGTAGATATGATGTCCTTGAATTTTTTTCCGTATGTGTAAACGGTGATATACCTCACACAAATACCTCTCTAACAAGGTTTTGTTTCTCATGTGTACGTTCATATGGTCATGAAAATCTCTTGGTTCTACAAGATTTTTAGAAAACTATGCCCTAATAGTCTCCTTCAAGTGGCCTTACTTCACTCTCACGTGAGTTATTTATTTTGCTCGACTCAGTGAATCAAAAAATGAGCACACTACAGCAAAACAGGTTTTTAGATGTGATTTTTCACTCATATAGCGTTGTTTTTAAGCGTCGCTAAAAATCTTTGTGGCGCAAAAACAATGCTGCTAAAAGTGACGCTAAAACAAACGCCGCAAAAGGTAGCGGCGTTTGTTGTTCACAAACTCCGCTGAAAGTCGGCTTTTTTTTCAAACGCCACTATTTATCTTTTCTTTTGTGGTGTTTTGTCCAAAACACCGCTAAATATTCTGACATATAACAGAGTTTGTTCCCAAGAATGCCTCTAAATGTTGTCATATATTGGCGTTTGTGAATGTAAAACACCGTTATTGACTACGTATGTAGTGTCATTTTCTGTATAAACGTCGTAAAAGATCTAGAACTTCAGTGACGTTTTTTAAAAACGCCAGTATTGACTATGTATTTAGTAGTTTTTTTATACAAACGCCGCGAGCTAAAACTAATTTTTCAAATCTTGTTTTCTACTCTTTTGTTACCCAAATTTTAAATTTTAACCTATAGCATTATCCAATAAACTTGACATCCATAACAACAAACTAGAAATCCATAACAAGAAACTTGAAATCCATAATAATAAATTAAAGTTTACATTAACATAAAATATAATGTAGTTAAACATTGTTAACTAGGATAAACAATAATAACACCTAAGATGGTTGACTCTGGGGTTATTTTTTCGTATCATCTGAGTCATAGCTTGAAGTTGATTTTGAAAGTCTTTCACATTTCGAAGTACACTCGGAACATAAAAATTGATTCAATATTTTTGCTTCTTCAATGGTCATATCCATGCAGGAAGGATGAAACCTACAAACATAATTATGTTTGGTCAGGAATATATGATAATCCAATTTCATGTACAATCAGGAATATATACAAACACAGAGTACAGTGTAATCAATGGCAAAGAACTAAGAAAATACTAAACATTCTAACAGAACTTGAAACATGTCTCTTCAAATCAAATATGTTTTAATTTCTAGCGAAAATAATCGGCAAATAGCTCATGCAAAGTCCCTTGAAGTCAACATTGAATCATTGATAATCAGACTGATTAAACCAAAATCTACTTATCAACCAGCCAGTGTAGTTCCAACCCATATGTACCCTGAAAGGTTAATCTACTTTTCGTTGTGGTTTTAGATTAAATAACCTGAAAGGTTAATCTGCAACTACTTTAGAGTTGAACTGTAAAAAGTAACATTATTTTTGCAGTGTACGCTAAAACTTCTGAGATTTGTTCACTTAAGGTATTTTCAATAACGTAGTGAACTCCAACGTTTTAAGGAGATATGAGACAACAACACTACAGTGAATTACGTGAAATTCCCTACACTCCACTACTAGCTGACATTACCATAAGCTAAATCCTCAATTGCATCCACTATTTTTCCATAAAATGTCAATCAATTAAAACCTTATTTGATTCATTAGATATGAACTTTCATCAAATTGTAAATCATAAAAACGTTACCATTTCCATGGTCAATTAGGTGATATGAAGACCAAAGGAAGATATTACACATTAATAGTAGAATGTTAATATGGAAATGAACCATGTCCGAATCAAACAGAGCAGTTAAGTAATATCAGGCGGCATTAACAGACAGCTTAAAGATTCTGAATGATAACATAAATGTTTTGTATTTGTCAAAAGGAACTGAAGGTGATCTAGCTCATACTTATATGTGTCTTAATGAGTCTACCATTATAGCTCACTAGAATGCCTAACGTTTAATTGCTTTCAGTCACAACAAAACTACAACTTTATAGGAAGTAGATTTTCAAAGATATTATACCAAACAAAGTAGGACACATATAAATCATTATTGGAAAGTAACTTCAGAATGCTAAGATATTATTTTGACAAGCATTATTAAGTAAATGAGTAGTGACTTTACCAATCCTTGCATCCCTCGCATTGCACCATGAGGTCATTCGGGTTATATGGCATCTCACACTTGCAATACCTTCAAAACCGAAATCCTGAAGAAATAATAAACAATCTCTAAAAAATCTCTAAAAACATAGTACAAGGCACTGGGAAAAATCTCAACACAAGATAAATCAAATCAAAACCAAGAGTAATCTATTCACCAGGTCAACTCAAACGACCACTACCAGAAACATCAAATGAAACAGTTAACAATAGAATTCAGCATTCCAGATTCACCTAAAATGAAACCTTTAAAATCCAATAAAAAAAAGGGTAAAGCTAGGGAAGAACTCACCTCTCCAAATCGCGACCCGCAAGCCTCCTTGTTCCCACAGAAAACCCAAGTATCACACAAGCAAGGGCCATCATTTCCAGTACACATGGCGTTACAAGCCTGGCAACATTCCACGGAAGAATTAAACTTGAAGTCAGACCCCCACTTCACAGCTACACCCCACAGCTCCAAATTCTCAATGCCTCTGCAACACCCACCCTTCTTTTCCCCAACATCAATACTGCCCGCCGATCCCGAAGAGTCGAAGCTGGCATCATCAGAATTTACGGTGGGATTCAATAGTGTAGAAATGACTGCATAGACCAGAAGACAAGAGAAGAGAGCCACTAAGAGGAGGACGAGAGAGGAGAAACGGGAGTGTTCCTAGTATTTAGCTAAGCTATATAATTCAGGTAGAACAGACGGTTACAACCCTAAAACCTAAAATAGTAAGGGAAGAAAAGAGCTTAGGCAAGAATTAAACCTGGCGAAACTAGGAAGTTCAGTGGAGAAGTAATGAAGTTGAAGAATACGTGCCTTTAACAGCTTGACAATGATGTCCTTGGCGGATAGAGGAGATTCCAACTTGGATCCTAGCTCCTTGAGCTGCACTTCCAGCTTTCCGCCATTTTCTATTAGCAATTTTTGCTCGCAAAGCAGCAGCAGCTTCATCTCATGCTCACTCTCGCTGTGTAGCTCTCCATATAGGTTGAATAGTCATGAACTCAATAAGATGGAGATAGGAAACAAAAAGGGGAAAAGTTGGGTTTTGGTTTTTTTTGGCACTTGCTCTCGCCCCACCTCTGGGTTTCAGGGATTCGAAGTTCCACGCCTCAAATCAAATGATCTCTAAATGCAACTTTTCCCCTCCAAATGTTGATTTCAACTTTGTACTTGTAATTTACATAAGATCTTTATTTTTCATTAAAAATTGGCAGGTGGACTTCAAGTGGGACTTATACCATTTCATAATGCTACTATATTTACTATTATGGAAGAGCTTCAAATGTATACTTCCTAAAATGATTTGTCTCATAATAAGTTGTGAAAAATAAATTATAGTTTCTAAACGAAAAAAATTGAATCGATATATTTTAAAGTTTTGACCTGATTAAAAAATAAATATTTGAAAAATACATTTTATTAACTTTAAGTGCTTAAATTTTGTTTAATTAATAAAAATGTCTAACGTTTTAAAATTATCATTTAACGTGATTAAATTTTTTTAATGATTTTATGAATTTAAGCTTTCTTCAATTTAGATATTTATTAATGATTTTTTTCTTTTCTAAAATTTAATTAATTTGAGTTTGTGGATTGTATGTAAAGATAAAAAGTAATCGATTAATGGAGTATGACAGTGTAAGGATATGGTCAATATTGATGGATTTGACGACGACAAAAGAATTTTAAAATTAGAGATTTGTGAATTCGAGGTTATGGATCTATACATTTTAAAGATTTTAGGAATTTTTAAAAATAATTTTTTAGTTTCTGTTTAGAAAAATAAAATAAATTAAAAGTTGTGACCATATTTCATACATTCGTTAAATGATAATATTTTTATGAACATTAATGATTTGATTTTAAAATTATAATAGAATAAAATATTAGATGTTTGATAAAAAGTTGAACACCTAAAAACATAGTTTGACCAACAATCAGTTGATCTAGTGGGATAAAGCATTAGATCCCTTAAGCAAGGTCAAAAGTTTAAATCCTGACGATTGTGAAACTGAATTAGAAAGTTCGTTCTTGTCTCTACAGTACCCAATCTAAATTAGTCGATGATTATACCAAAAACAAAAAACATAGTTTGGACCGATGATTTAAATAGTCATATTGTTATCAAGAGATTAATGACTAATTATTATTATTAATAATTCTGGATAAATAATAAATTATTAGATATTATTATAAAATATTAAAATATTTAATTAACCTATGAAAACCATTTGCTTATCCAATAGTACTGATACTTCCTTCTTCTTTGTTTCTTTTTTACTTTCATACGATTTGTTGTTCCACATGAATCTTTTTTTAATATTTAATTATACTATATTTTTTTATTATGAACAACGAAGTATTCATTGGTAAAGAATTCAACATAAACACAGTACATGCGAGACAATTCTAGCTAAACACTCTCAACAAGTGAGAACATGGATCCACTCCAAAGAAAAACAACACATAAACAATAAACCAGAAAATCACCATAATACTGGTAATGGCAAAATACTGGAGTAATCAGCCTTACGTTTTGGATACATAGCAAGGAAAGTTAGGTGAGTGCATTTAATTATGTACGTACATGCTACAATAGTAATAGTGTAGAAATTATTAATGTTTGTATGGTTATTACCAAATGGCACTAAGTGTGCAAAATGTTAAGAAATTCATACTAAGTGTATGAATTTCCGTATTGGGCACTTTATGTGCTAAAATATTAAGAATTTCATACTAAGTGTATGAATTTTCGTACGGTCACTATGTATGCGAAATAAGAAATTAATATCAATTGTACGAATTTCCGTATGAGAAATATATGTGAAATTATCAGAAGTTTATAATCAGAAAGTGAATTATTGTAATTGTAGTGGATGAGTAATCCATGTAAATTATAGTAAAATTGTGGTATTAATGCACTGGTCTTATGGGTATAAATCATATAATGTATAACGATTGAAGAGGTTAATTGATATTGAATGATTATTATAGTTGAGACTACTCTAAAACAAAAGATTAATAGGCCTAACTGTGTATTTGACAGAAAAATGCCATTTATGCCAGTTATATGAAAGGCTAAATGCCTTTGAGGCCTAACTGTGCATTTTACAGAAAAGGTGTCATTTAAGCCAGTTAGATGAAAGGCTAAGTGTCTTTGAGGCCTTATTGTGCATTTGATGTAATACCCCAAAAATTAGACAATGACCAAAATAAAATTTTTGAAAGTTTGATGGTCAAAGTAGAAAATTGGGAAAAAGTTTAGGGAATTAAGTGATAATTTCCTAAAAACAATTTTTATTCCATAAATATATGGTTTACTCTTGAGAGTGGAGTTTTATAGAAATCATATTTTTGTATTTGGAATTTTAGTAAAGAAAAACTAGAAAGGGTTAAAGCCGGTAAGGAAACTGGTATTTCAGATCGAATTGGAATTTTACAAAAATTTGAAGAATGTTATAAAATTGTTGGAAATATTATTTTAATATTTTGGATCAGAGAAATTTGGTTTGGAAATGTGCAATTTTTCAGATTTAACCGAAACAGTGGAATTTAGTGACTAAAACGCAAGTTTTGAAAATATCATGGCATTTTCGTAAGTCAAATTAATTTATATTTGACTTTGTAATATGATAAGGATCAGATGGCTTGGTTTTATGGTGATTATGGAGATTCATTAAGGGCAAAAATGGAAATTCTTATGGAATGGAATAAAAAATTCCATTATGATATTATATTAAACATGTGATAGATATAATTAATATTATAATAACAATATTGGGGGAACAATTGAGCTTCTTCTTCATCCAAGACCGACACCCCCAAGCTTGCAAGGTAAGTATTCTTGTTTTAAATTTTGAAGCAATCTTGTTGAGAATTAGACTTGGGTGTGATTAGGAATAAATATTCTACGTTCAATTCTCTACATTTTGACATGAATATTACTAGGGTTTCATGTTCAAGTTCATCTTGAGTTGATGAATGGGATTTTGATTCTTGTGTTTTATGGGTTTTGAAGAGTTAAGTGATTTTAAAGAATTGATTGTAAGAATTGATGAAGAACCTAAGAATGAAGTTAAAGAAAACAGTTTGGATTTTGAATATGGCAGTAGGTTCGAAAAATTCACCAGAAATTATATAAAAATAATTTGGAGGTTATTTTTATATATTGTGTTCATATATCGATATAGTTTTGTTTAAAATAAACAGGGATCAATTTTAAGGTGTGTACAAAAAGATATGAGTTTTTAACCAAGGAAAGGTCAGAAAAATCGGACAGCAGATTCTGCAAAACAGATTCTGTTGATCAACTTTGAAAATTCACCATAAATTGTACAGAATGAATTAGAAGTATTTCTTTATATGGATAGATTCGTATTCGAGTCTAGTTTTCAATGGAAGAAACGGAATTAAATTTCAGTGTGTATATCAGTACAGAATACTGATTCTTTAAAGGTAGTACAAGTTGTCAGAATATGGAAATTTTAGAAAGTTTGGTGATTGTAATACAAATTTTCGAATTGTTGGGAATGTTATTGTAATTATTCCTTTGTGTACTTGGTTGTTAATAATTTCAATACTGGAATTTTTGTATTGAAATTCTAAGTGATAAAATGGTGAAGGACCATTTTGTGTAAATTGGAAAAGTTGATTCCAATGTTATAGAATTATTAAGAGATAAGTATTTTGATAGATAATGAGTTTCAAATATATTATGGAGTTATTATGGGATATGTTTATGTTAGTAAAATACTAACATATGTATCGTTATGAAATTGTGAATTATACAGATTATGATTGATTTGCGATTGAAGCAAGTCAAGTGGGTTTATTGTGGACAATAGTGAGGCACATATTTTGGAAATTATAAAGTGTCAAGGTGAGTGCAATACATGCATGACATTATACATGGATGTTTTATACATCATCAGGAAGACTTGCGATAAGTCGACCTTGTTTATGTTGACATGATTTTTAAGTCATTTATCATATATTTGACATATTCTAAAAAAGTCAAAGGTTGAATATAAAATGCATTGATCACTGATTTTTGCATATGATGTTATCATGAATGTTATTTTGGGTATGAACTGCCCAATGTTAAATATTGATAATATACTTTGCCATGGATGGATCGAATAAAATTGACTATATGCCCAAGTATGTTATTGAGGATCAGTGGTATTAATGGCATGCCATAGAGTCTAACAGCTGCAATATTAGGTAGCACTAGAGTGTCTAGAGAAGGCACATAGTGCAGGCCTTAGTGTCTAGTGAAGACACAGTACAAACACTATGGTGTAGTAGGTGGGTAAATCCCGACCTCAGCACTTCGGTGCAATATTTGACTCGTATATCGGGTTCCTCATACAGTTATACTATGGGCTATGAGTTATGGTTTATTGGTTAATAAATGGTAAGTATGCAAATAAGCTTACGAGCTTATGAATAATGGCAAGTATATTGATAAAATAAGCTTACGAGCTTATGGAATTTTAAATGGTAAGAGATTTTATATTATTTTGATCATGGTAAAATATTGGATATTTTAGTAAAATGATTTTATGGAAATTTGATTTTTGACATTGAAATTCATGCATGAATTGTGTTGCACTGTATATTGTTTTAATTGCCTCACTAAGTTTATACTTAGCGTGTGATGATTTTCACGCGTAGATAAAAAGAAAAGAATAAGAATAAAGAGTTTAGAACGACATCAAAGATCGAGAAGTATATTTCAGTATCAGTAAGACGTCCTAAGTTGTAATGTTAGTTTTATTACTGGCATGTAATTATAAATATTTTATTTGTTTTGTTAAACAAATTTGGAAACTAAATGGAAATTTGTTGAATTTATATGTATTTTCAAAAGTTACTGTAGCATGAACAGTAACAACGAATTAAGAGATTTTCTAGATTGGTTTTGGGGTACCGATTCCCCCTACAGG